TTTCATATATGAAGACAAGGGTCAAAAAGTTACGTTGTCCAGTTAATTAGTTAATTGAAAAACTGTTTAAAGGACCTTAAAATAATACCTTCTTGACTCAGTTATATTTTAACCAATTTATTTCCATACTGAAATTTCCCTCCGTGCAGAAATTGCGCTGACAGTGGAGCTATGGGGAAAATTAGAGACTCGAAGACTTTGTCTCGTTGTTTGTTGCTAATTAGGCAAAAATTACATTTTAAAAGGCTGTCGAGCGTAAAATGGAAAAAGTTCGCAACCCGAGCTGGTCTATACTCCCCCTCTCTAGATCCTGCACTTGGTCGCCTGCAGCTGGAAGGTCCTGCAGACAGTGGGGGCACATATAACTTTTAGTGGCTCCGCCCGAGTTGCGTTATAATGACTATGACAGGAACGTGATGGTGCAGAGTGTCTAGGGTCAGGACTCGGGGGTCCTTGGACACCGGAGAGCGCTTGGTCGATTTGCAGCCGCAGCTAAACAGTTGGGCCAACAAATTGCGGCACATTTCTCAGCCAGAATTTATGTTATGCATAAGTGAGAGTGTGGCCGGCAATTTGTTTTTGGCCAAAAACACGCACACACACACATTGCACCTAAACGTGCTAATTTAATTGAGTCAAGTGATAAATTCAATTGGGGACATCAGCGCAATCAATTGCAAAGAGTTCAAAAATTTAAATCGCAACAATTTGCGGCGCCCCCAAAAGGCTGCCAGCGGTGGAAATACAATTTAATGAAAATATATTTCCCTCTTTTGACACAATTAGCGGCTTGTTTTGGTGGCATTTTCCCCAACGGGGAAAAAAAGTATATAGAAATGTATACAAATATGCGAAATTTATGCCCGAAACTCATTCCAGCTGATGCCAAACTAAGCCAATAAAAATTCGCACAAAAACGGAATGACAGGCCGCCAAAAATGTCAGTGGGCCATCAAAAGGGATTGACGCCAGACTCTGGGGACACGAGGAAGGACGATATACACATATATATATATATATGTATATGCACATATATGTGAGATTGGGTATAACAAGAAGCCAGCTATTTGCGGCATATTTTACACGCTTTTCTACTTCGTTTACACGCACGAACCGGAGGACGAGAGCGAGCGAGCGCCAGGACCTTGCTCCACTCTATAAGGCATGGAAATGTCGGAAAAAGCGTCGGAAAATAGATAGAGCGGCGGCCAAAGTATTTGATGTGCATGTATGAGTGCGCATATAAAGTGAAAACATTTACACATGTTTGATTTATGGGTCAAGTGTGTGATAAAACTACAAAGGCGGTCGCTCGGCTAAGGACGTAGCGATGCGAGTCCTGAAATCAGAGTAAATCATGCAAAATACAAACGCAGGATGAGAATGTGTCGGCATGGTGCCGAACAGCAAAATTATGCAGTCACAAGGATGTGCGAAGAGTCGCAACACGACGACGAGAAGGAGCGCGCCAAAGTATGCAATAAAATGTGACGGAAAAGCGAGTAAGGACATCGTCCCGCATCCCGCACTCTTCATCCGCTCCTCGTCGCCCATAAAAATTGTATTTCAGTTAAGTGCCCAGCAATTGGACACTGTCCGCCTCGGAAAAGGTCCGGCTTAAATGGTATTAAATGCACACCAGGGCCGCAGGATTTTTCATCGCAACCCGACAGCTCATAACTCGAGCTATGGCGGGGGAGATAAAATAAAAAAACACGAACTGTGAGGACAGTTTCAGGCTCTGACTAAGTGATTTTAACAGATTGAGGCGTTAATATACATTTTTTATTGGCTTTACCTTCTTAAGGATTACATTTCTGTGCTTTACAAAGTTTTGAATAAATTTTAATTAAAATTTCTACCTATTATCTTTAGAATGTTATCGCCACCTTTAAGCCAAAACCATTACTCTTAGCCCTGGTAAATCAGCTATCGTTACTCTCTCCCTGATTTTGGCGACCTCTTAACTCAAAACACACACAAACTCACCCACACCCGTAATGTGGGGCACACACACACACTGTCAGCTGTATAATTGCATTTGAAGCCATCTGAAATTGACTAAGAACGACGACAGTTGCCAACAAATCCAGTTATCTTTGTGGCGAAGCTCGGATCAGAAAGCAATATAGATTAACGATTATGACAGCGATGGTGCAACGTACATAGTTGCTGGGAAATTCCTTATAATTTGCACTCACAGCTACCAATAAAATTGCCAAAGTGGAAAATTGCAAATGGAGAGAGAGAGAGAGAGAGGGAGATATGCGAAAAGAAAACAATTTGCATTCGAAATAAAATTTGGGAAAAATAATTATTTACATAGCAATTTTGAGTGCAACTCTGGCAAATGGCAAAGAATAAACAAGGGAAGACACCAGGACAGGCAGGACAGGCCTAATTTATGTGAACGAAATGCCAAAAATTCCATTTGAGACAAAAGCCCCGAAAGACAGAGACAGAGAGAGAGCTGGGGAAAACAAAAATTGAAAATGACAAATTGCATTAGAAGGGTGCTTTTTGGAAAAAGGGTTTTTTTGTTGTTGTGTTATTTTTCTTGTTTAGAAGAGAGCTGAAGAGCTGGCCAGAAGGGAATGTTGTTGACCGCAAAAATGACACACACAGAGTGAGCAACACATTTTCGGGGTCCCCTCTCGGTTATCCATTTATGAAGACAACAGCAACAATGTCGCACATATTCAAAAAGCAATTCTCGGCTAAAACGGGCTAACAAACAGGGCCAGGGCCCAGGGCATCCCCCCCCCCCCAAAAAAAAGCCACAAGAACCCACAGAAAAATTAAAAACGAAATTCCAGTCAAAAAACAAAAACAAAACCAAAACAACAAAGAAAACAAAACAAAACACACATTCAGACAGTCAGAAAGCGAACCAGTTTAAACCGATTTCCTAATCAAAGCCGTATTACTTCCCCTAGTCCCCACACACACTCGATATACATATATTTTTAAGCCTACGGATATATTTAGGATTTACAATGTGTGTAACCCCCTTCCTTTTAACCCCAAACAGTACAAATGCAAAATTTAATTATGAGCTGGGAAGAATTTTTTGTGCGTTGCTGTCGACAACGCGGCGTGAAATATAATTAATTTGCTATTTTTAAAGGCCAAAAATGAAAGATTTTGCTGAAAAACTGGCGCCAAAATAATTGCCAAGGGAGCCAGCCCCCACTTTTCCCATGAGTAACCGCAGAAATTTCATTACATGTGTAAACAATACAGCCAACAAATTTGGTTTTTCACCCCCTCTTTTTTTCACTTTTCACTCTTTTGTTATTGTAATGTCAGAATATTAAAAGAATGTTGGCTTAATTATACTTATTAATAAGGCTGTGGGGGGGAAAAAGTGTTGTTTGCAACCGGAAAAGGGGAAAAGTTTTAATAGTGTGGAAAGGGGTCTTAAGTGTTTTGCATTTATGGTTATGAGAAAAATCGGAAGGCATTCAATGTAAAAATTAAATTAATTGGTCACTTACCGAATTTCTTTTCCATTTTCTTCTTCGTCTTTTTGTTTGGTAAATTAGTTATTAAATTTTAGACTTCAATCTAGTTTAGTTCTGACCACTCGCGATATTATTTCTCTTTCCTTCCTTTCCCTCCTTCCTTCCTTCCATTTTTACACTCACAGAATTATTAAAACACTTCATCTATAAACTGATTAAACACTTAAAAAAAAACACATAATTTAAAATATTTTAGGTAATAATTATTTAAACACTTAACAACAAAAAAAAAGCACAGAATTTAAAATACTTTAGGTAATAATTATTTAAACACTTAACAAAAAGAACAAAAACAAAAAAAAACACACCGAATTTAAATCATTTAATTCGGCACTTAATTGGCACTTAAAAAAAAACAACAAAAACAATAAGATATTTATTTATAAGGAAAGGCAAGGAAAGGCATTCACGAAAAACACAACGAATATCTCTGAGATATTTAATCAGCATAATTGCACTTGTCCATTCACTTGGTTTATATGTACACACTCTTTAAGTCCGTTATGTTTACATTTCTAGCTTCTCGCTTTCAAATGCTCAAGGCACCGCAAGAAAGACAGTTATTTTGCATTTTTGTGAGCGAGCGCTGCACTCACTCACGCCCAAAAAAATATGCGGACTCCAAAGCACACAAACATACATACATAAGTAGATAAACATTTTGCGGCGGGTGTTTCGCTTCTCTAATTGTCCGCCGGAGTCTCAGTTGTTGTTATTGTAGTTTAAGTGGCTTTCATTCAATATCCATTTGTTAACTGTATTAAAAATGTTTAATTTTCGTTAATACGAAGCTATATATTGTACAAGTTCACTTACCCATTTGCACAGTTAATGATTTTTTCACTTTCCGTTGTCCGCTGGCACAGGTACAGTTGGAGAGGGAAGCTGCGCTCAGTGCTTATGCGAATTATTATAAATACACTTGTTTAATACGTAATCCAAGGGTTTCCGCAGTACACAAAGTTAGTTTTTATGTTTTAGTAGTTTGTTTTGTATTATTTAACTTTTTTCCGGTCTTAAAACGCTTTTAAACAGCAGCAGCAGCGGCACACAACAAATTTTTCACTTTGGTTACTTCGTTCTTCTTCTTATTCACCTTCCTATCTTTGCCGCTCTCGCTCCCGCTCTCTATGATGCTCTCCTTGCAGTTCTTTTTGCACCACACTCTATGAACGATTTAATACTCTCACGATCTTGGCTTGTCAACTTTCAATTAGAACACGCATTTGATGGGAGCTTTACAAGCTCTAATTAAAGTTCCATTGCCAAATCCAAACTATATTCGCGGGGACTTTGTCCGATTAGGAAGGGCACAACATCTCGCCTCCCTGCCGCTTGCAAATGGAATGGGTGAGTGAAAAGGGTAGATCGTGGGGAGAGCGCCGTTCTCTCCCACCTCAACGGTTCCCTTTGATTTCACCACCTTCAAGCTCAGGCCTCTCCCGGCATTTTCACTCATTCCTTGCAGAGAGACGACGTGGACGGCAGCAAAAAAGTAATTGCGCTCCAGTTTTAGTTTAATACGAGTGATTAGTTAGTGGGCAGTGCTTAAAAATACATGTGCATATCATTAAAAAAACTTAGACAAACAAATCCATCAAAAGGTTGCAGCGAAAGAAGGAAATAGAGCCAGAATGCCGATTTTTTCATTTTCGCATATTCGTTTGCTAAGGCACGCGCAACGAAAACGAAAACGGGTAAATAAAACGACAAAAAAGTGCTGGACGCGAAAAAAAACGACATCGGAGCTGATATTCGTCGCCCGGGTTTTAAGAGTTTTTAGTTAGATAATTTAATTGGTTTGATTTGTTTTGCTTATGATTTGTGCAAGTGAAAAAAAGGCCCACTAATTTCCGCGCCGCTGTTCTTGTTGAGATCGCTATTCGCGTACATACATACATACACACAGGCATACAGACACAAGGAAAACCAAAACAAGCCCAAAAGAAACTAAAAGTAAAAAGGAGAAAAGAATGAGATAGAACGCTTTCGCCGTTTGGACTCCCGCTACAAGCAACTGAGTGAGTGAAGATTATTTTTCGTTTTTCTTCTCCCCGCCTTCGTTATGTTCTCTGCCCTTGAAAATGAAATGTAAACAAGCAAAACGAAGCTGCGCTCTCTCACGGAGAGTAGATCCCGTAATACGATACACATTTGTGGATTGAAAATCTGAGCCGCTATTTGTTTTGATTGAGTGGATGTTAATTACAATTGGAAGTTAATAGTAAATGGGAATCAAAACAACTCGAACAAAATTGTATATTTATTATTTTATTTTTTATATTTTTTATACATATTTCCCCATCTTGATTACTATATTTTTTATAATTATTTAAATTTAATACCCTTAATAAATATAGTTAGCGAAATGGATCGGGATTTTGTTATCATAAGGGTTAATAATAAATCTTTTGCCCGAGCTCTGTACGTTTTTTTTAGTGATATGCGACAAAATTATGGTGAAACAGAAGGTAAGCTTCGGCACGCCGATGTTTATATACGATTTAACGATCGTTTGTATGGTAGCTATATGATATAGTAGTCCGATTTTTATAAAATTTTACACAAAATTCTAGATTAATATATAATGGCTGTATATCAAATTTAAAGAAAATCTGTTTAATAATTAAAAAGTTATAATAATTTTTCTTAAAATTTTCCGATCGTTCCTATGGCGGCTATATATAATATATAATATATGCATACATATATATATATTATATATGTATATATGGTCCACTGATTCGCCCTGCTCCGACTTATGTACTAGTAAAATTATATAGAAGAATAACTTCATAGTTTCATTCGAAAAGCTTGCTCTTGTTCCAAAACAAATCTCGCACATGTGTGCATATGATTTCCAACTTGTTCTAACATCCCCGGAACGAAGTGACTTCTGCCGGCCAAGACTCAGAAATGTGGTGTTACAAAAGTTGCAAGTCATTGTTTACTAGTGTTCAAAGTTAGTAACTGATCATACATACTTACTGGCCAACTTACTACTTAGTGATTATAGTTACTTACTGGTCATGGTTAATTACTGATCGTAATTACTTACTGATCCTCTACATTTAACAATCGGTTTTCTGGCAGTTAGACATTTCCGACCCTATAAACCATATATATTCTTGATCAGCATCAACAGGCGAATCTTTCTAGACATTTAGGACAGAAGTTAACTTTTTGACAATATATTCGATTTTTTTGAACAATGTTTTAACAATGTTGACATTGTGAAGAATTGAAAAAATTTAAATACTTTAAAAATATAATTTGTGTATGCCGATTTATTGACCTATTAAAAGCTTGCATAGAACAGCTTTCCGATTCAAAATTAATGCATTTTTGGCTAACTTATGAGTTTATTAAACTCTGGCTTATAGAAAAATCGTCATATAAATAACGACCCAAAGAATGCAAATATTTATACCCTCCTATTTTCATTCAGAAGTTTAAAACGCGTTGAAGGAGTCATTTCCGACCCTATCTTGTTCAGCATCAACAGGCGAATCTTTCTATGCATCAAGGAAATAAATAAAATTTTTTGAAATTTTTTTCACAATTCTTAACAAATTTTTACCTTGTTGACATTTTAAAATTTTGACAAAAATTTAAATTTTTAAAAAATTTATTTTGGGTATGCAGATGTTTTAATCTATTAAAAACTAGCACAGAACAGGTTTCCGATTCAAAAATAATACCTTTTTGGCTTAGTTATGATAAATTGCAGATTCGAACTCATTATCCTATACACACATTGGCTTCCCGAAGTTTATATTCTTTTTTCATAACATATTTAGCTAAAAATTAAATAATAATAAAGCTCTTGAAGAAAATTGGTTTATGTAAGTGTCATCATTTATGAATAGGTTCAAAAATAGGTTCACTCATATGATTAGCATAAGGTACTTAAATGGATAGATATTTATGAACATTAAATATACATATATAAATTTGGAATATTCCTCGTACCTATAAATTTCTTGGTCGCAACAAATCAAAGGGAAAACCGGCAGAGATGTGCATTTAAGCCATCACTTTGCTGCAATTTAAATTGGCCATTGGCATTCGCTTTGACAATGCCACAAACACGCCAAAATGGGGCGGGGAGGATCAGGAAAATAATGTACGATATTCCGTTTGGCAGCTGGAGGACAATATTCGGCAATGCCTGACATGGCTTTGGTCCTGCCAGGACTCGCAGTCATGTCAATAAATTATGTACTGGATTTTCACAAAGGCACACAGAGTCACAGTCACAGCCTCGTCGTCGTTTTGCATTTGAAGCCTTAGACGTTTGATTTACGTTCAATATGCGAATTTAAATTGCAACTTTGGCCGTCTGCAGACAAATAAATGTGTGCGACGGGGCCAAATAAAATCAAATCATATTTCGCATTAAAAATGTACGCGGCCATAATAAGGACCTGCCCCGAGCACACACACATAAAAGGCAAACGTGTTTGCCTTTCCCTTTTTTTCTGTGCTTGTTTTTTCAAGGGAGAGAGTCAAAGTGAAGTGAAATTCCTTTTGCCAAATTGCCAGACTTTTTTACGAACGGTAACGCTGATCCTGCGCCTGCCTCGGGTGTGTAGTGTGCTTTTAGGCGGCGCAGGAATGCGACACAGGGAAAATTACGTTGACAAATGAAAATGTCACAATGATGATAATTTATTTTCCCTTTTGTCGATTGCCGCGGACCGTGCCTCTGCTGTGCCCAACTGTGCCACATTCCCCGGGCATTCCGGCTTTCATCTGGCTCTCCTCCGGTCGGGACAGCTGTGACCTGAGCTATGCGCAATTAAAGGTAATATCCGACAATTGCTTTTGGCCCCGGGAAACTGGCCATCCACAGATATAGAGTCCGGAAAATTCCGCAGATGTGCTGTGCCTTAAGTGACATTTTGGTACAAGCGAATAATAAGCAAGTGTCAGAGATGTCTCAAGTTATATTGGAGTTCTTTTTGAGATTTTTAATAACCTTTTAACCTATCTGGTTTTATTTTTCACCAAAAAGTATTTGAAAAGAACTCGCTAAAACTTTTATTTATTTATTTAGAATAAAGTCTATAAAGTCCATTTACTGCCTTGTATATCCTTTTGTCATGTTTTTCCATTTTAAAGCTTCCTGTGACAGTTTTAGCGACTTACGTAGTCCATCCATCTTGCATATGTAGTCTCCCCGAAACCAGAGTATTCCAATCACCGTCTTCATCATCTCGGGTAATACTTTCTTTCCGCCGGAAGAGAGGGAAGAGATGGGGGTTTTCCGCTTCATGTGCCTTATGCGTCTTATTCGCTCCTTACGCTTTCCACTCAATTCGGCTTGATGGTTCGAAAGGGGGGAAAAGCGAGGAAAAGTGGGAGGTTGTGCGCTATTAAACTTTTTGGCATGATATTACCGCTATTTGCCCGTGCCAAGGCACACACACACATACACACAAAAGCGGATAGATACATACATACTTACTTGTCATATAATAAACTTTTATGTTAACGGCTTTTGATGTCTTACCAAAGCGCAAACAGAGTCCTAGCACACATGGCCCAATGCGAACCGCATACACAAACAGAAAATGTATGTAAAAATCGGGAAGGGATGTCCACTGGTCAAATTTTATAAAAATAATACAAAGAAGAAGAATTAAAACTAACTTCAGGGAGCCGAAGTGTATATACCCTTCCCATTTGCTCAAAATAAAAATGATCAGGTATGAAATCAGTTCATAAATAAGTTTAAAATGTCTCATTCCTTGAGTCAATATTTATCAATATTTTTATTGACAAATTTTTCGATAAACAAAACTTAAAAAACACATAACTAAGCCAAAAATGCATTAAATGTGAATCGGAAAGCTGTTCTGTGCTAATTTTTAAAATTTTGTCAATTTTCCAATATGTCAAAGATGTAAAAAACTGTACAAAAAATTTGAAAAATGTTAAAAAATTTAATTCTTTTCGAACATACCTAGAAAGATACGCCTGTTGATGCTGATCAAGAATATATATGGATTATAGGGTCGGAAATGATCCCTACACTAAATTTCAAGCTTCTGATACCCTGAAAGGGTATAAATTTTCACATTAATTGGGTTGTTTTTTATATGACGGTTTTTCTACAATCCACATATTAAAAAACCCATAACTAAGCCAAAATGCATTTAATACGAATCGGAAAGCTGTTCTGTGCTAGTTTTTAATAGGTTAATAAATCTGCATACCGAAATTAAATAAAAAACATTTAAACTTTTGTCAATTTATCAAAAGTGCAATATGTGAAAACTTGTGAAAATTTTTGAAGAAAATTTAAAGAAAATTACTTTTTTTACAAATATGCCTAGAAAGATTCGCCTGTTAATGCTGATCAAGAATATATATGGATTATAGGGTCGAAAAAGACTTCTTCAAGCTTCTGACTGAAAGTAGAATACGCTGAAAATATCTTATAAAATGTGTATATGTTCTTTTGTTATGTCCTTATGTACTACTCTTACCTCTAAAAAACCATACAAATACGAGGATTAAAAGTAAATATATTTATTAAGTAATAGATATCGCTAATAATAGTGGAATATAAACATTTATACTTAGATTAAACTTTTATTCTTCATTTTTCACTTCCTTATTAAATATCAGCTCGTTGCTCCTCTCTGCCTCTCCCCCTCTCTCGCTATGTTAGTCGCTCTATGTTATTCTCTAGAGGCAACTCCTCTCCCGCCCACTCACACTCACTTTCTCTGCTCTTCTCTGCTCGTCTCTGCTCTTCTCTGCTCTTCTCTGCTCTGCTCGGGGACTATAAATAGAGGCGCTAAGGGCGCGCGCGCCTCAGTCTGTCCTAGGGGTACCTAGTGTTAACATCTCAAGTGATAGTGATAGTGATTACCTTTCGATCCCAAAAGTATGACGTGGCCAATGCAATACATCTGGATGACCAGGAAGAAGCTCACTTAGATAAAGTCACCCAATCTTGGTCACTACACTGGAAGGAAGTAAACAATGACGTGTCCTTTAGTGCGGTAAGTCTTAACCATGACATATATATTATGTATGAAGAAGCTATTGGTGGTATCAGACCGAGGTATAGAATTTAGACTTTGGTCCTCAAAATTTTCTTCTGTGCACAAAATCGTAGGATTCGTAGGGACAGCTGCCAGGCAGGCACTTAATGCCCATTCTTCTTGCCGTCAGTTTTCCGGCCTTTGCATTGCGGCTTTATTAGGCTGAAAAATGGAAAATGGAATATGCCGCCTTCGCCCCCGAAAAAAGCGAAGAAAACTTGCAATCTCCCAGGGGGCCTCCTCCAGCCTCGGCATTCCATTGTCTGTGTGTTTGTGTGGCCCATTAAAATTCCCTGGCTAAATGCATGAATGGCAATGGAAAATATTTGCATAAATCTTGCCGGGATTCGCTCAGCATGCGGTCGCTCCGCTCAGCTTTTCTGCCCCACATCTGAAAACCCACACCAACATCAAAGAAAAACTCTGGCTTTTTGTTATACATATTTATCATTTGATGGTAGTAACTAAAAAAACGTTTATTGAAATTTTTCATACCGATTTCCATATTTACGTTACGCTACCTTGCTTAAAAATTAAAAACAATTTCATAATCTTTATAATGCGTGTTTTGCTGCCACTTTTGTTTGCAACAAAAGTAAACAAAGTTTATGTTTTGTTTGCTGCTTTTCGGTTTTTGTTATATGAATATTACCTGCTATTTTATGCTTATAATATATATGTATTATTTTATTTGCTCGATTGCAATTATTTCCATTGTTGTGTTTCGTTACAGCAACATTAATTTACCCATTAAACATTCATTTACATGACGCGACTAATTTTGCATGCGTTCGGTTTACATTTTTAATATCGATACGTACACTATATTTATATATATGAATGCCTATAAATGTTCATGTCCATTTATGGGTACTGTGTAACATATGAGACTACCACATAAATACTTGAGTACTGTTTATAGTTTATTCATATGGCGTAGTATATGCGGGTTTATTTACAATTTTGATCAGTTTAACTCGGGCCACCTCAGTGCCCCGGACAGTGGCCATACATTTTTAAATGTGGCACAGGACGAAGGAGCTCCTTCAGGAGTCCCTGGCCCGGCACATGGAAATGCAAATATTTTGTTGACAAGAGTGAAAAGTGACTTGCCAGTTTGGAAAACAGAAACCGGGGGTAGGGACAGTGGAAAATGCAACCGGACATGCCGAAATGGGAGCTCTAAATTTCCCTTGGAGCATCGAACCCATTTCGGAAAACAGGAACTGCCACCACATGACTTGGGGAAATTCTTTTAAATAAATTGTGAGCCCGGGAAGTAGCTTGTTTCTGAGTCATGGCTTTCCTTCTGCAACTGGCGAAGTGGTGAAAATTAGTTTAGGAACCTTCGAAGAAGTTCTCTTTGATATCTCTAAACATATTTACAAATGCTTAGGCTCTAGGCTATACAGGACAAACACACGAATCCTTAATATTTACAACAATCTGAGTAAACTTTCGCTACATAATATAACTATTTTGCTAAGCTAGGAGGATACCTTAGAAAATATCTGGAGATCTGAGAACATTATTTGTGCGTGTCCTTAAGCCGGATGATGCTTCACTATGTACAAAATGGATTTTTGTGATCATCTTAGAGCCTTGGAATAAATTAATTCCCCCGCTTGAATAATTGCTTTCACATCTCCAGGTATTTTCTTAACACTCCCTCTTTTACACTTTAATTTATTTCAATATTTATTTAACCAACTAGGCCTGGCTCTAGCAGCAAACCACTCGAGTATAGTTCTCTTCAACTTGATGATTCCTTCAAAGCGGGCCCTCCAGTTAGCCAAGTTCGCCACTGAGCCGGCAATTTACGTGAGAAGTTTATGTACATGGCTCTGATTTCCGCCTAACTAACTAATCCCCAGCCCACTTAATTAGAAACACGCTTACTTACAACTTACGAGGGAGCAGCAGCAGCAGCAGCAGCTTCCTCCCTCCCACTCCGTCATTAGCATAATTAGTTGGTATTTTTTACCGGAAAGGTATTACACGGCAGCTCCTTGGGTGCTCCTCTCCACTTAACATCGGTTATAAATCATTTCTGCTGCATTTTGGGGGCTGCAGGTGCATTGGCGGTGGAATTCCAGCAGGGTGACATTAATTTATCACCGTGCAATCCGGCTGCCATTATTGACACCGACGACGACCGAGGTGGAGGAGGGAACACAGTCGCTTTGGGTATCCTTGGGGTCACTCGGTGGCACCCTCTCATCCTCCTGTCGAGCTCCTGTAAGGGCTCCTCCTCCTCCTCCTCCAGATCCCGGCAGGAGCAGTGAGGAGCAGGCCTCCAACAATACGAGGGCCGCCACCATTGTGCTAATTACCCTGACCGCCTGACAGGACCAACAGGACGCCAAGGCAACGGCTGCCGGCGCCGCGTTCGTTTGCATCGCCTCCGGTCGCTCGCCTGTTAGGAGGGAAAAGCAGGAAAATGGAAAAGGAAAACAGAGGTGAATAAAGATGGCCATAGATTTGACATGAATGAGTAGCAATTTGTAGTTTGTCGCCGCCACAATAAAAGCATTCAAATTCAGGAATAAAGTGCGAGACTTGAACAAATTTCAAGCACTTTAACTTAGGCATTTTTATGAGAAAATATCAATTAGAATTCTAAGGAAGAAAATTAATATACGTAACAGTTAAAAGAAAAATTCTTTTAGGAATATCTTTGATATTTTAATCTGTAAACATACTTAATATCATTGAAAAGAAATATTAGATAGCTAGAAAATACTTTAAAAGGTATTTAATATATTTTCCTATACAAAATTCTTTCTGGAATATGAAATATGTTTTCCCAGTGTGTTTCTCTTTCGACCACTACTTCATAAATTGCTTCAAAGTTTGGCCAACAAAGAGCGAGCGATGCTCTGCAAGTTTAATGCATATAAATCGGGGTCAAGCAGATGCATGAATGTATAATTCACATTATCAAACTTGAGCATCCAATTAAGGCGGCCTTTAAGGTTGGCTCTATACCCACAAAAAGAAAAGCTACATCAAAAAAACGGAAATAACGAACATGAGAAGGAAAAGTCGAGGAAACTCACCCTGAAGGACATGGACGCGTATGCTGGCTATCTCCGTGTTCGATGGATAGCACGAGTATTTGCCAGAGTGCAGGAGATCCGCGTCGTAGATGAGCAAGATGGACTTGGTCTCCTCTGACTTGATGGTCTTGAATTTCAGCCGCCCGCCGGAGGTTTCCTCGCTGAGCACCTGTGGAGGGGAAAATCCGCGGGGGAAAAGCCAAGCGGCCGAGGTTGTCATATTAAAAGCGATTTCCCCTCGTTGCAAAAAGTTGAAACCCAAGCCCAAGGGGCGAGGAGAGATTGCGGGTCCTAAGCTAAATGCAAAAGCATGTTTTCTCATAATCATAAAAGCCAAAATTAAATACGTTACGTATACGACGCGTAAACAAAAAGCGAACAAACTCACACTTAAACACTTGAAAAACGAGGGTTTTGCAAGGCAAATGTTTACTTTAAAGTTGTATAAAATATATGAAATGTATTTTAATATAACAACATTTAATTTAGAAGGAGTTTCTTCAAAATCTAACTTATTAGCAATTTTTAAAGATAGCTTTTTGTGTTTTAATTTAATTTAAATATTTCTTTCGCAGTGTACCAACGCCCTCATACTTGAGAGGCGCCAGCCCAGAGCTCATAAAAGTTAAAAACGTTTATCCTGCAGCAATTGGCTGGGCGTGGCCCGCCTCCTACTGCTCCTTCTCCTCCTCCTTCCCCTGCCTTTTTGCGCTTTTTACTGCGCACAAACTCAATTATTGCAAGATAATTTGGCACCAAAAAGGAAAACCTTAAATTGGTTTTTCCCCTCGCCCGTTGGGTCTCCAATTCAGTTCATTTTTTCTCTCCCCGTGCACTGTAAATTGATTTTAAGGGATATTTACCTTATCCTGATGATACCAGAAGATATGGGTTGGCGGCTCCGGGCTGAACTTGATGATGCAAGTGAGATTTATAGTGCTGCCCTTGTCCACGTATAAATCAGGACCTCCCAAAATGGTGGCCGTGGGCACTGCGGAGAGATAAAGATAGAGGATGTGGCGCTTTATTACAGTGAAGCTTCGGTTATGCCATCCATTATGCAGTGCATCATCCTCCATTCCCTTTATAAATCCAACTGTTTCGAGCTCTGCTAATCACTCGGTTACGTTGCCTAATCAGCGCCATTCGCAGCTCTCGCTCTCGCCCCTGTCGAGTTGTGAAATTCTGAAATGGTTTGTTTTTCCCAATTTCCCGCACATCGGCCGGGCGACCAGTGACATGTATCCCGTGCCACAAGCCCCTCCCAGGCACTCCCTCGATTTTTGATCAGGACCATCCGGTCCCAGGCCTCGATTGTTGGAAATTTCCATAGTCCAGAGTCTGGTGGAAGTGGGAAATGCTGTGCCAGTCAAAGTCAGCACGTTAAATAATCGATTAGAGGGGCTGTCAGGCAGAGGCGGACGGAGAATGGAAAGTTTTTGGATGGGACAAGGTTGCACAAAGTTGGGAGTGATTTCAAGATGGGTTATGGCTTAATTTTGTCCAGCTTTAGGGGCGATTCTATAATTTAATGTGCTCGTTGGTTGCCCATAACATTTTGCTTTGTTTTCTTGTTAGTTTTAGGTATACATTTATGGTGATTTCTTTTCTAAGGAGTCTAAGAGTCTAGAGTCTTTTGCATTGCACATGCTTTAGTGATTTAGTTTAGTTAATAATTAAAGCAAGAAGAAGTACACTTAACATTATTTTTAGTAACGAATGTAAAGGCTTTTAAATCAAGTTAGTTACGAACTACCTGCCTGTTGTTTCTAATTTGTTACTTTATTTACTGTTGAATTCCCAAAAGGGGAAATACAACACACTTAATTTACTCTGCAGCTGTTTTTCACATAGCTCAGATTACTCAACGCACGTTTTCCCCGGGTAGTTATTTCAGTACCGAATGGAAATGCAACAATATCAGGTGTTCTTTTGCCTGTGCCTCGGCTTGCTCTTGAGTCTGAGAACGTGCCTGGCCATAGATTTCTGTGACATTCCTTCCTGCGGGGGAAGGACACACATTGGATGCAATAACAGTTTGGTAAGGAAGGTCATTAGGAGATGGTGTGGCAACCAACTTAATTCCCACCTGGATTCCGGCAGATTTTCAATGTGGACAAGTGTCTGCGCTTCAATGACCTGGTGAATATGCAGAGTTTCCGTCGATACCTGCTGACCGTGCACAACAAGTACCGCCAGGATGTGGCCAGCGGGCGGTTGAAGAGGCTGCCGTCGGCTCTGAAGATGCCCGAACTGGTCTGGGATGATTATCTGGCCCTGCTGGCCGAGTATCACCTGAAGCGGTGCCAGATTGAGCTGCCGAGCAACTCTTGCGTGGCCACCGATGACTTTCCCAATGCAAACTTTAACTACGGCGAAGACTTCTTTGCCAGACCCCAACGAAAACAGTCCAATGTGCGTCATATGACCCTTCTCACCGAGGAGTGGATGGACGAGGTCTATGACCTGGAAACTATTGATACGGATGCAGCGAGTGATAACATCGCTAACATTATCGCCGATCGCGTCACGCACATGGGTTGTGCCGCCGGACAGGACTACGACCTGTGGAACGTTCACTTTGCCCTCTACTGTTACTATAGCTCAGGACCTCCTTTGCACGATACCCTCTACGAAAAGGGCAGCTTCAATGTCAGTCTGTGTGCCCACGGGAAAAGCGAAGAATACGAAAACCTCTGCAAGACTCTACCCCTAAATCACTGACTCACAGCATCGCCAGGAAAAATAAATATTGCAAAGGCTTTGGGTATAATTAAATGTGCGAAGCACTTGGGCAATAAGAGGGAGCAACTAGAGATGAAAGTCTGGCTACTTTGGTTAGAGTTTATTTCTTACATACCTTATAAATATAAATGTGTATATATTTATATTTGTTTCCAAATTAAATTAAAATAGAATTTATGCAAAGGTTCTTCTGTTAATAAGTCAAGCAAGCCTTACATTTCCCCTTAACTTTAATTGAATGTGAGCAGGTCTAGTTTCCTTCCATAATTATAGCAATTTCCAAAAAAACAACTCTTTTCGTAGTTAAGGTCTGGCAATTTTCCGGCTCTCAAATGGCGCCAGCTCCGTAGAACGAAAAATTGCGAAAAAAAGGTAGAAAATAATAGGTGGGAGAATAAGAGTAACCGTAACAAGCTGGCAAAGTTAGTGGGTAAAAGCTTGTTGGAAAGCAATTTGTTCGTCATGAGCCAGAAAAGTGCTTGCCCCGGGCGACCCGCACTTGACTCCACAAACACACTGGCACAAGGAATGCTGTAAAATATTAAAAAATAATATGCATGCATGGCAGCTCGCTGTCTGTCTTCTGAAAATGTTCTTTTTTTTTGTGGTTAAACTTGTCACTCAGCCAAAAAGTATGCAGCGGCGGCTGGGACGCCGGAAATCAACAATTTACCAACGCCAAGGACGACACCAATTCACCAATTTGTATCTCACTAACCAGCCACTGTCTGAATGGGGCCAAACATCCCGGCAAACTCGTCATCACTGGACTGGTACACCCGATCGGCGGCTATATAGAAGGCATCGTCATTATAATACTGCTGCATCATGTTACTCGTCTCGGCGTCAATCAGATCTGGGTGTGCCGGTGGTGGTGGGGGCAAACCAAAAATATATAAACAAAAGACAGAAATAAGGCAAACAAAATGTAATACCAAATAGAAAAATCATTCAAATAATTATAATAAAACCCTGGCTAAACTAATTAACTAAAGTACACATCTGAAAATAGACTGGAACCCGCCATTATAATTATGGGGGGGCCTAGCAGAGCTTAATAAATAATTCATTCGTAATTTGTTGGCTATTATTCTGAAGAGAAAAACTTTAAGTTTTATTTCATCAAATTGGTTTTCCAATCACGATTTCAAATTTGTTATTCTGGGCTTTATAAACTCACCGACTGGATTTAGGAGGGGCTTGTTAGCTTGTTTGTTTGATTTAGAAAAACCATAAAATAATTCGGGCAAAAATATAAATACGTTCTGTGGCCCCGGGATTAAAGAGAAACAAATGTTGGTTTTTCCGTATAAATTTATGGTTGGCGAAACGCTTTTGTTGCGCAGTTTATTTTCCCTGTTATCTACACCTTAATTCCTCCCCATATATATTATATATAAATGTCGATATCCGTTGAGCTCATTTTTTGTTGTGCCAACTCCCTTCAGTCCATCAATCTGTCTGAAAGAATTTTTTGAAAAATTCCTCTGCCATATTTACCGGCGAAGTCGCGTCCTGTTTTTATATCCTGCTGCGACGATTGCCAAGTGTGCATAATTTACACTCTTGGAAATTGCATGAATATGCAAGAATGATACAGGGAGGAAATATGTGAAATTCTCCGACCGAATGGAGGTCCTGCCGATCTGAATTCCTTTCGCGGGTATATAAATATACATAAGGCGGGGCAGAAAACTCTTGTTTAAAATTTATCTTTATGAAATTCTATTAAATTTATTTCGAGCAACATTTTATATATATACAAAATTCGAGTAATAAAAAAGCTTTTATTTATTCCAAGCATATCTCTCAATTACCAAAAGAAAGTCATAACTCTGATAACGTGATTTTTGTGTAAATACCCACAGATATCCTATATAGTACTTAATATTCTAAAAGTGTTTCATCCCGAATGGGTTCTGTCTTATCAATATGGAAGAAGTATTTATGTTTAGAGATGGTATTTCCTTTAAAGTTGATATTTCTACGAATTTTGGTTTGGCTTTTCTTAAGATATTTCCTTTAGAAATAATAGATTTCTAGTCAAAGTATTTTAGGGTTGCTATTACCTTACTTTCATAAAAAACTTACCAAAGTTATTTACATTGTAATTGAATATAAAATCCTTATTCTTTACTATACTCACCCACGATATTCAAGTTGACCGAATAACTTCGCACTGGCTGTGTGGATATTTGGCACTCGTAGACACCGGCATCCCGCTGCTGGGCCCACTTGATCTGTAGGGTCCACTCGTCAATGTCCCGGTGATAGGAGGTCTGGAACCGCTGATCCGTTGTGTAGGTGTACGTGCCCACGGTGAGGATGTGCAGGTCACGGTGTCGTATCCAGGCAACCTGCAACGAGGTCCAAAGGTTACCCATTAATACCCACTTGAAGTGACTTTAAAGAGATCCCAATTGAGGCCAGGAAACCACACAATTTATGCAGAATTTTCATACAAGTTGAAATTAGTGTGCGGAACGCATGACAGACCCGGAAAATGATACTCCCCGCTCCTAGGCGTCTCCTCTCCATTTTCCGGTTCTCTCTTCAGAGCGACATTCACTCGACATTGCCCACTACATTTGATACAAATTTTTTGTGTAGACTGGTTGTATTTTTTTACTTTTTGCAGGAGCGAAGGCTCCTTGTTTATGCGGCTAACTGTCTAACCAATAACACAAACCGACCTACAGACAGACAGATAGACAGTCGTAGTCGGAGTCGGAGTCGGAGTCAGCCAACTGTGTGGCATCCATCTGTGCAAGTTCCACTTTCCTGCCTGCCCGAATGTCTAATTCTGCAATGGCAGCATAAGGAAATAAAAAAAAGGACTTAGACTGCTTAATATCCTGTAAGGGATTATTAAAAGGCATTGCCTACTTTTAGGTAGATTCAAGTAATTTACAATAATCATCTTCTACTTAATGAACAAGTTGAAAAATAACCTTTACTTATTGAATAAACTTTTGAAATATTTTTAGCTTGAAATCCAGACCTATATAGTGTAGTATATAGACTATATACCCCTCACCTCCCATCGTACCTCTTAAAAAATAGAAAAGCCGAAAAAAGTCGAAAAAAATGGAGGAAAGTAAACTTTAGCCCAGGCCTCGGCCATAAATTTACTGTTGGCCAAAAACCGAGCTTCGGCCGGGCCGGTTAACTAGTGTGCTGTGTGTGTGTGTGTGTGTGTGTGTAGTTTACTGATTGCGGAAGCGGATTTGGCCAAGAGGAAATCTATGACCCCTTCGCAGAAGCAGTGACTAGAGCCCGTGACCGTGGCCAAATCGCTTAACGTAATCAACGGTTTTCGGGCCTGCCAACACCTGCAAACTTTCCCAGCTGCTTTTCCTGGGCGGCCAAATGGGCAGCTGGAATATATAGACATTTTTTTTGTTTTTGGCAAATGCGTGCAAAATATTTCCGCATTGTGTCTGCGGCAAATTGACTAACAATTCCCCCGTTCTTGTTTGGCAACCCATTTAATTTTGATCGTTGAAATGCAACACTTTTGGTTCGTTGCCCCTGGAACTTGAGGCTAGGGAGGAGACCCTTTAATTGGGTCGCCGGATCAAGTGACGCCATCGCCAAAAAAAATAGAAATAAAAATAGGAGAGGGAAAGGGTCCTTTACAGACAAGTGGTCAGCATGTGTGTGTGTGTGTGTGTGCCTTCTGCTGTCACGTATTACATAATAAACTGGCAGCAAATTTAATAACCCGGCTCACTGTCTCTGTGTTCTGTTGGCCATCTAAGTGGATATTTGGTGACACATTCGCCACACTTGCGGCCACCCCCGGCTTCCTCAAAGCTTTGTTTATTAAATGTAAATAAAAATCAAGATTATTAATACGAAATGTTTCCGGCTGTTGTCCCTCTGTTGACTTTGCTTACACTGAGGGAAATAGTAAAGAAATCTTCAGAGAAACTGCTGCTTAAAAAAGGTTTTTATTAAGTTTAGATTTACAAGATATTTTTAGATACTTTCATTCAAGTTGTTTCTATATACTATTCGCATTGTTTCTTTTATTGTTTGATATATTTTTTTGATTTGGGATCAAGTTTTCTTAGTGTTTCCCCCGTACTCACCGTCTTGTTGCCCAAATGCTTGACTCGACAGCCAAGATATGCGGATTTGCCCACCAGGGATGTGATATTCCTGGGCATTGTGAGATCAAAGTACGGCTCATTCCATTTGTGGCCGTGTGGATAATGCGATGGCGGCGAATGTGTGGGCTTTGCCTCGGCGTTGTTGTGATTGTTGTTGCTCACAGATTGCCGCTGGTAGCACACGGCTAGCCCTGAAATCAGAGAGAGACATTTATATACACAACATTTTAGATATATAACATTTATAAGTATAGAGATAAGATGCCGCAAAGACAGCTTCAAGTGGGAAAACATTTGTGGGGTGGCATGTCATAATGCGACAAGCACCTGCTGTCAAGGACACGCCCCCCAGTTTATCTTTGCTTTTTTGGGGAGGGGTCTGGTTTTGGAACAAATAAAAATTCAGGAAAATAGAAAAAAATGGCGACAAACTGCACCCTGACATGTGGCACGTAGTACACTTTAATTAAAGCGATGACACAACCCACACTAAAGGTTGATACCCTCGTTTTCCACCTCTATGTGCGGCAGGGTTCCATTTCACGCTTTTCCCCGCCCAAAAAGAGTCACTTAAGTGGCCTTCGCCTGGCTGACTCTGCGAGTGCCGACCATGTGGAGTGCCAGTTGCTGGTGTTTCCATTTTTGTTTTGTTCTGTTTCTGTTTAGTTTAGTTTAGTTCGCATTGCGAAAACACGGTTGTTGTTTCATTTTCATTTATGGCCGGCTGGCTGGGGTTAATTTTCTAATTACTCGACGCGACGTCGACGACTTTCTATGACTTCGTCGTCAGCAAAAGCGGGAAAGCTTTTATAGCCCACTCAAACCCCTTTTTGGCGAACCCTTTTTTTTTATTTTTTGTTTTAACCCTGGCAAATGGCTATGGGAAAATTGTAAAACTGTAAAACTGCAAAAATTTCATTTCCGCCTAAAAGGAATCTAGTTAGAGGGGTTTGTTGTTGAATAAAAAAGGCAAAAAACAACGGCAAACAAAACAAACAAATAACAATCTAAACTGACTCCCAAATGGCGCAGCTCATAAACTTTGCCATTTACGAAATGAAATGGGTGGAAATGGGAGACTCCCTCCAGGTCCTGTACAAAGTTCCAAAGTGAAGTTAAATAAAATGCCAGAATGCCAATGAAAAATCACTACAAATTATGAAAGAATTGGCCAGTATATATATGTATATATTTACAAGTACACTCTCGGCCATTCGTCGATATGTAAAAAATGCCAGGTGGAATAAGAAAGCATTTCTCTGGTAATTGAGTCAAGTATTTGCCGCATTCGTGCTGCCAGCCACCGAAATGGAATTCAGCCGCAAAACCGACTGCTGAAAGAGGGAAATTCGAGGCTGGATGTGAAGGAAATGCCTTTGGTTTGGGAAATGCATTCAATGGCCATCCTGTAATGGCATCAGTCAATGCTCATTTCGAGAAGATGCACTCGGGAAATGTTTACTCAATCAATAATATGGTTTTTCATGATTAAAGTGTAAGAGTTTCAGACTTGTTTATATATTTTACGTGTGTACTTACGTTATTATCTTTGCTGGTTATTAGCTAGCTTAATTCTTATAATTTCGATTTAAGAAAAGGGTTTCTATTATTTATCATTTATAAGGATCATTTTCGTTAAGTAGAGTAATTTTCTTTCTCTGTGTACTTTGAATTTCGGTCTGTTTGCCAGGCATCTTTGCTGGCCGGGTGTCGTTTAGCCAGGCGTTCCAGTAACCAGTTACCAGGAACAGACCGCAAAACTTAAAGAGCTGCCGGCGAGCAGAAGCTGTACAAGCGCCTTTCAGGGTTTTCCGAGGCAGCTTGTCGGTTGTTGGAAAAACAGCAGGGAAACCTCCTCCTGCCTTCACCACTCTGCCGAGGCAAACACACTGCAGGAGAGTGAATGCAAATACCAGAGCTGCATTGGCATGCCGGGCATATGCGTATTGCTTTTATAAAACAGCAAATAGAAGGTTGAGAGAGGGGAGAGGGGGATATGGACCCAATGGCACTGCATTGCATCCACCCTCACAGGGATTGTTTGTACGGACTCGTTAGCCGGGCTTTTGTACTCGGCCCGCTTGAGCAACTCATTTATTCATGGCAGCAATTTAAGGGACCGGCTGAAAGGGCTGCGGGCAAATCCAAAAAATGCAAATTATTCAACAGTCCTTCGGTCCACCGATTCATGACAGAAAACATGACAAAAATCATCCTCAGCAAAGGGTCAAGGTATTCCCGCACAATCTGAGACCAAATCGGAGTTAGAGAATGAGGAGCGGAACTTGTGCAATAAATATTAATGCGCTGCGATAGAATTAATTTCGGGCAATAAATCAATTAGTGAGTCCGCAGGGGGGAGCGTGGAAATATCACGTATACGCCGGCATGGTCGTTGACAATCTATGATTGATTCGCCCTGTGTGGGTGGGGTTGCCGGAAGGTCCTTTAGGACCCACTGCTGTCGTGTAGATTTGCATACATGCACATGCAACGAGTCCTCTGGGCACAGCCATAGTGAATCATTCGAGCCACTGCTCAGGCCGCTCTCATTTTACGCAAAATTAGCCTTGGCATCCGCCGCATCCCTGGTAACGGGAAAACAATTGCAGGCAGGTCCTGCCGCCAGGTACACACGATAACGATTACGATTACGATAACGATTACGATTGAGGGGAGGCAGCTGGGAGGAGCGAGTGACTTTGACTTGGACCGCAACTACAACAATGGCGCAGAGCCATAAAACGCTTAGTCCTGGCCAGGATTACTCCTCTCTATAGATGTGTGTGTATGCACGTGTGTGCCCTGTGTCTGTTTAATGTCCTTAAATATTTATAAAGCTGGCAGTGGGCAACCGCAGCAGCAGCAAACGTCGAACCGAACCAAAGAGCCATGAACCCAGGCAGCCGGCTGCCGGAAGGGTTAACGATTAATTGAAACAAAGTTCAACTGCTCCTGTGGCACGCGGTTAAATATGGAATATATGCAGGGGGGAACAGAGCACATATTCGTTGGTAAATTACATTAAGTTTGTTTATCTGTATGCAGAGGAATTTTGGGCAATTGCGGTCGATTTATGAGGGTTCTCCAAGGGATCTGTCAGTTATAAGGAGTTATTTCTCAACTTTAATTATTCTCAGAGTTTAAGAGAAACAAATTTAGCTCTCATATTATAATAATTTTAATATTAAACCCCATAAAATATGTTCCTTATCGGAATGAATTATTTGCACACCGCAACGAAATCTGAAAGACTTTCTCCTTATCACTTTTGCCACACCCAAACCCCTCCGTTTTGTCAAGCCAAGCCAGATCCTGACAGACACGGCGTATCCTTCTCCCGTGCGAGTATGAAAAGAGTGCTCATCGTGGCGTGGCAGACGGCGCTTTTGTATTCCTTCAGGTCCTTGCAGGCAGGCTACCTCAATTAAAGATAAGTATCAAAGTGCATAGTAATCAGGAGGCAGCCAGGCGAGCGACGGGCCAATGAGTAACACGAAGCCAGAGGCGGATTCCAAAAAGGACCAGGACGAGAGAGAGAGAGAGACGAAGCCAGGCCGCAGGACGAATGCGAAGTAAGCACGGCGAAGTGCCTGTCAAAATGATTGTCTTACATGCATTACCCTCTTTCCTGGACGTCCTGCCTCATCACTCAAACATTTTATGTGGGGTGGCGCACCTGGCGTATGCGCAATTTTTTACCTGTCTGCCTCTGCCTGCTTCTCAGTTACTTGTTACATATTTTCACTTGCTTTCTCTCTGGACTTTTTGGCTGCACATCGTTTTTCACAACAGCCACAAAATGTAAAATTTTTGCGCCATTTTTACTGCAATTTATGCACATTGGCAGGGGGCACGGAGCAGAGCCAGGCGGAATGGGGCTAGATGGCAGGACGATGGACGAAGGACGAATCCGAAATCCCAGTCCTGCCGGGTACGGCCCTCTTTGGTCATTGCTTGTTAACACACCCAATGGGAGTTATTAATGTTTGCGGCGCTTTATTTACGGCTGCCGGGCAGGAATTGGGGCTGCCAGGCTAGCAGGACTTCGTCCGCATTTTTTACGGCTCCCACAGGCTTCGAAGGATTCGCTGACAGGCAACAACCAACAGCACGCTTCCGTGCCCCTCTCTCCCCCCTCGGTTGATTTAAATTTGGTGTAGTTAATTTTTAACCCAATTTTTTACTCAGCGATTTCTTTATTTATGTGCAACGCCCTTTTAATGTTGCTACATTTTATTGCCAGGCGTTATGAAAAAAATTTCCCGCTTACAGGATTCAATTGCCAGAAGAGTCGTTGACGGTTTCAGGAACTGAATGAGAGTCCTAGAGGAGGAAGTACGCTTTCAAATTTTTAGGGAAAATATATAAAAAAAAATATTACTTATATGTTTATACCTAGTACCCTGGTACTATCATATAATTTTAGTCAGAACCTTAAAACGCAGTGAAAAACTCATTTTCGACCCTATAAACTATATATATTCATGATCAGCATGAACAGGCGAACATTTCTAGTCATATAGAAAAGAAATTTAATTTTTTGAATTTTTTTCATAATTTTATAACACGTTTTTACATAATTGACATTTTAAAATATTGACAAAATTTTAAATATTTTAAAATTTTAATTTAGGTGTGCAGATTTATTAACCTATTTAAGACTAGCACAAAACAGCTTTCCGAGTCGAAATTAATGAATTTTTGGCTTAGTTATGAGATTTGAAAGACTTTAATCAACCCAAAAAATCAACATACATAAAAATATCAATTTAATACTTTTAGAATATATACATTTTTGGTTTTCTTGTAGGTATATTAGTTATGAACGATTTCACATTTGAAACCATGGTCCTATGGGTAACTGCAATAGTATTTTATTACAAATATACATTATTGCAAATAATCCATTAATCATTTTCCCTCTCACCTCTAGTAGAAAGTATTATGAACATTTGCGGAGTAATATCCGTAAACTTTTAAGGAGTGCCTTCCGTCATAATTTTAATCAGTTGAAACCTTTAACAAACATTTAATTCCACTTGGCCCGCCCTGGGTTTTTAACTTTTTTAACCCGACTTGTCACACTCCGCCCTCCCCGTGGAAAGTTTTCCACTTCAATTTCTTGCCATGTTGCTCTGTGTGTCATTTGCAAATCAAATTGTAATTGAAGAAGTTGGGTAAGTTGTTC